AGTGATTCCAGAGAGAAGCAGACAGAGGGGTCTACAGTCTGTGTTTGAAGGATATATCCAGGATGTCAAACTGACTCAGCAGCAACAACAGGTTAAAAAGACAAAGATAGTTAGAAGCTAAAGCCGAACTATAGGCTACAGATCACAGTGTAAAAGTGAACCATCACATCACTGCTGATCACCACACAAGACAATAAATATAAAGGGAAACTTTGCTGATATTGAACCAGCTGTGTGGCATCGCAGTGTGTGCAGGTGAAGGATGTTTAGCTTTGCTCCTGTGCTGCTGCCAGCACCCGGACCTCCACCACCAGACAGGCGGGGATCTCCAGGAGAAGTCAAACAACATTCATCTGCGCACACTGCGATGACACAGAGCTGGTTGAATATCAGCAAAGTTTCCCTGCTTCCCTTCACTGGTTCCTGTACAGCAGGGTTGGTCTTTGTTTCACTGTTATAATCATTAAAAAGTAAAAGCAGCATGTGTATACATTCAGTAGGCTATATCTTCAGTAGCTAGCTAGCTAACCCTACACTTTTCAGGGTTTGATCTTGGTTTTGGAACAGGGAAGAAACGTATATCTTTTTCCAACCTCTCCAGGTAACAAGTATCATTAATACACGATGTGCCCCAGGCACAGCATTTAGCTCCAAATCCACAAAACCAGCCTGAAAATGAAGGAAATCTGAAACGGGTCCATGTCATTGGTTCGACAGCCCATTGGTTCGACATCCCATTAGTCCGACTGTCCGCGGTGCTGAACGGCTCGCGGCAGGTGTATGGTGCGCCGCGACCGGCTTGAGGTGGAGCAGGCTCACGGCTTATGTGTTTGTCACTTTCTTTTTCATTTTAACCCACACCATGATCTTTTCCTTACCCTAACCAAGTGGTTTTTGTGCCTAAACCTTACCAGACCTTAACCACAGGGCATCATGATGATTTTGGAACGGACTTTGGAACAATGAGTTTAATATGGTCGGAACAATGGGATGTCGAACCAATGGGCAGTTCCCATCTGAAACGACTGCATTAGAGTCAATGGAGCACAGCTGTGTTGTTGTCAGACCCTGGTCTGAGCCGACCCGATGCCACGTTATGATTGGCCAGTCTGCATCAGGGGTTGGGACTTAGGGAAGGGTAAATTATTACATAGTTTGCCCTTAAAGAGTATTACTCTGTTAAGGTCTCCTTACAGTACTTTTTCTGGAGCTTTTAACCGAGCCAACATGGATCAGAAGTCCTTGAACTGCTATGGACGAAATCATACTTAAATCAGCAGATACTCCACAGCAACCATGCAAACTCCATCCACTGATGAAGACTATTTAATACAGGTAAAAGAAGCAGAGAAGACAAATTAGTGGACTTAAAGTTGGGTTGTATGTTTTGTCAAAACAAAGAATGTTGTTGAAATAATGAATACAAATTTGTTATGGTTACAATAATGTTCTGATAAACAAGAAGAAAAATTTGCCCCACTGTTGAAATTGTCTTGTAAGATGTCAAGCTCAAAGGAAAACATACCATTCCACACTCAACGTTCTTTCATACACACCACATACACACAGATCTAAGAGCATCTTCTCTACACATGCGTCCATGAATAATGACTGCATAATTCATTCTGTTGCAGAGCGGTCTAACACACACATACACACATTTTAACCCCACACCACCCCTTATAACTCCCTGTCAAACTCTAATGCTGTCAGTACCCCATAACTCAGCCCGGCTTCATTTGGCTAATATGACAAGCACAGTGTGTAAATTACGTGACCTTTGTTCGCTCATTCATACCTTCAGTGTGTGCGTGTGTGCGTGTGATTTCCATTAGCACATTCGCTCGTTCGATGTTATGCCACAGCCCATACTCACTCGCCCTGCGCAGTGAAGATGGTCCATGTGAAATATTCAAACCTCCCAGAGCCAATTAGTGTAATGGGGACATATTTGCATATACAGAGGGTGTAAGTGGGTAAAAGATTAAGGGAGAAAGGACGGGTGGAGGGCTGGGGGGTTAGAGGAGAAGATAAAATCAAAGAGAGAGGAAGGTGAACTATGAGAATATATGGGAGGGAAAAGATAAAAAACAGCATTGAAATCGTCATTAAATGTTTTGCAGGCTTGTTACTTGACTATATTTACTAATTTACCAACGAAGGTGCTCTGTCAGAGATTTTCTGCAAAGAGCTGCACAAGAACAACAAAAATAATAGGTGACAGAAAAAACCCCTCTTTCATCCATGCATCAGTGCATCTCTGCTCACACAGATTACGTTACACCTTGACAAGTGAGTACTAGGAGACTAAATTAAACAAGATTCATTTCAGCCACCTGACCTGTGGTAGTCGACATTAGTCAGAGCAAGCACACGGCACTGTGCTGGAGGTTCCCATGAAAGCTGGGACAGATGACAAAAAGCAGATCATTTGGTGGAACTGGGGGTATAAATTCATAAAATCCTGTAGCCAGGAATAAAACACAGGTTTTCAATTACACTACCAAAGACCTCTGTCAAATTTGGGACAAACCAGAAGACAAGCTAAAACCTACAAAGACAGAACAAACTGTATATAGACTGATTCCGCCAAAATGCAAATTGTTTTCAGTCTGGGATATATTTGAGTGGCGACAGGATTTAAACAGGGATGCAATTTGGGTCAGTGATGCTGGTGAAACCCAAATCACCAGTTTATACACTTAAAAAAAAGGGTATATCTGACGCCTAGAACAAGACATCAAATGGGACTGGTACCTGACCCTTATTGCTCATTTTGCCCCCAGAGAACTGTTGGCTCTTTTATAAATTTTGTATGGGAATGTCCAGGGGGTTTTGGTTTTAGGGGGAAGGTTAAAAGTACCATTGCTGAACCAACAGAGATGCAATTACCAGTGGACCCTGCTATTCATCTTCTAAATGATCTTCAAAATGATGTTTCCCTTACGGACATAACTCACAAAATCTGGCTGGCAGTCCTAACGGCAGCTAAGAAGATTTTAGTCCAGCGTTGGCAACCCCCCTCATGATATCCCAAGTACTCATTGGCTTCAGAGCTTTTTGGACATTTCTTACCTGGAACTATCATCAGCAGGAGTCAACAATGCACGTCCAAACACTGTTTTAATGTGGACAAATTTGATATCTGATTTAAAGGATCTTCTGTCTGAATAAGGATGATCTGTCTGGTGGAAGGTAAAGGGGTGTGGGTAGGGGGTTACTGGGTTAAACACTCAAATGTAATGAGAAATCATCTGTATACCTGTACATGTATATGTTATCTGTATATGCTGCACTAAATAAAATAAGTGATAAATATATACATCTGCTAATAATGTTCATATAATCAGATGGACGCTTATCAGTCAAATGCAGATGTGCAAATCGTGTAAATACAGTAACAGCCACACTCTTTCTTCCTTATTAAAGATACTTGGTGTTTTTTATTTACATCATATAAGACAGAGGATGTGCCCTTAAATGTCAGTCTGAAACCAACAGCTGTCATCAAGCCTCATACACATATACACCTGATTCCAACAGCAGGGTCAAACAGGATTCATGTCCAGGATCAGCTCTGTATGTTTACAGCATGACATCAAAGTACAAAACACTAACCATGTTTTAGACACGTGACACTGACCAGTGGTTCCCGAAGTGACGTCTGAGCAAGATCCCAGTAGAATATTGAATTGTTAAATGCCACGTATACTTTATTAGTTTTAAACTGAACTGGTGAACAAATGTATGGAAGCTACTATTCTGATGTGGGTGACGCCTTGTAGATTGGTGGAGTAGTGAGCATCCTTTAGGATGGCTGGATTTTTTGTGGACCCTGGACACGGATGACAAGCATCCATCATGTTTGTTTCTGTTGTTAAAACCAGGCTAATGTTGAACAAATAGGGACCAGTTTCCCATCAGCTTCGACCCGTTTTTTACTGCAAGTCAGTGAGGGTGAAGTTGATCTTGGCAACAAGACAGTTTACAACAATGTCCTGCAAAAAACATATGTTAAGCAACTTTATTTCTCAATAAAAATGACAGTGTCATGCTCATTTAGTTAAAGAAAATGTTTCATAAATCCATCGTTTAGGAAAACCATTTAAAATTTGATGTTGAATGAAAAAAATACAAGTGTCAATGGAAAAATCTACATTTTTTTTTTGTCTTGGAAAAAAGAAAGACATTTCTCAAAGGTGCAAAGGCTTTGTGGGACACTAGCATGTTGGGAAAACCAGCTCGGCTTTAGATGGCACATACTGACATAAAGTATCTGAAATAGAAAATGGACAACAGAGCAGTGGAAAATGTGATAATGTCAAATAATTTTGTGAATTATACCAAAAAAATCTGCAATATAATTTTCATTTTTCAGTTTTAATATATTAAATAGATCTAAATTTCAGAGATTTGTTACAAGTGCAATAGGCCTTTAACTAATTATTATGTTTGTACATCTGCAAACTCAATATGTTCTTATATTGTTAGACACACACACACACAAACACACACACAACAGTTGCTGGAGTTACGGATGTATTTGGCTTTGTCTCACTGGACACTGGACCCTTCCAAACTTACATCAGACAACATCGTGTTCATTGTTTGACACAGCGTTTACAGTGCAGCACAATTTTATTGCCACTGTAACTGTGATGTATTCCTGTGTGTGAGTGAGTGACCTACAGTATGCACTGCAGTGTAATGGTCCATTAGTGACAAGAACAACACAGAGAACCAGTACCTGCAACACCTCCACATCATAACAGCAAGACTTGTAAGATCTGACCAAACGTTTAATATTATGTTGAGAATTTACAGACTTGGAGACATGAGCATTGGACACAAGTTGTGTGGGTGTAACGCTGGTGTAATGTCCTTTTTTTAGCCTGGATGCAGAATTCAGGCACTGATGAAGTTGAGTGTAAAGGAAACCTGCACTACATTTATGCTACATTAGATTTATTAAGCAAACATTAATGCATGTATGCACTGTAGAATATTGCCAGGATGGCAGTCGGAAAAACCTAACTTATTGTTTCATGTACAGTCAAACACAGTAGACAGCGTCTTCAGTGTCATGGCTAGTCTGCTAAACTAGCAACCATTATAATTAACACTGTAGTCATAATTAACCATCACTCACTGGCACTTCCTCATTATTCTTTAATGACATGTATCTAATCATGTCTACTTGGTTCCTGGATTAGAGAGTACTCTAATGACTCCTTTATGCTCATTAGATCCGTACAGTATACGGACATGGACGAAGCCCTCTGTTCATAATCTGCTTTCATTTAGTCTGTATTTGTGCACGTTTTGTGAAAGCTTACAGGTACTGACAAAACAGAGCAGTTCCATCGGAGATCGTGGGGGCAGTGTAGAGTAGTTTCGGTGAGATATGACAGTAGGAAATGAGATTTTAGAAATGGCGGAATGGAACAAATGAGTAATATATAAGCCCTCAGGAACAGCGCCAAGCTTTGAAGCCAATTTTACGGAGAAGCCAAACATGGAATTACAATGTTTGGATCCGTCACATGATGCCACTGGGACCAAAAAGACATTTTCCCATAGACCTATATAATGAAAGAGACATCTGTAAATAAGTAGATGCTTTTCTTTTAGTGTCACACCCCCCTCAAAATGGAGATTTGATCCATTTGTTCGGATAACATTTAAAAGTCTTGAAGACCCGTACGATTAAGTCATTTTATCTCCATTCAAGTTAGCAGAAAGCTAAACCAAATGTTCAGTACAATGTAATGACCTCACAGGTCACTGCTGTCTACAACACTGCCTCTGTTAAAAATGCATCATTAAAACCTGCTCTACTGTCGCCATGTTTGTTGTTGTCAGAAACTTTGGACTCTGCCATCTGGTGCAATCTCTTGGATGCATCTAATACAGGATGCATGGAAGTATGGGGGCAATGACGGTCACATAAAAGAACTTATCTATTTTCTTACATAAAAGGAGTACAAATGAACTTTAATTGTGGATATTGCCCCCTCTGAAGCACCCTACATCTTCTGCCATGAGTGACATCAAACTAGTCTTGTCCTGTGTTTACTTATGGATCATTTATCCTTCCAGAATTTTTGATTAAGCTCAACTAAAGAAATCATTACATCAAACTTAATCGTCATGCAAATATAATGCTTAGCAGTAAACACTTTTTCCGGAGCTTTAGAACTTTCCTCTGACTCTTCTCTCACAGTACTGTGTTGGGCGATTATATTGGACCTATTGGACTTTGCACAGAAAAATGTCAAAATGTTAATCTTCTGAAACACTGATGTATACATATACACAGCATGTATGTTTCATTGATATCACAGGTAGGTGTTGTAGATTCTGGTTCTCTATCATATCATGAAAAAAACATGATTATTATAGACCTTTACATCTCAGTAATTGTTTTGGCTTTGTAGCAACAAAGCAATAAAATGCAAATATTGTGCTGCTTTCTAACAGATGTAGCAAAGCTCCACAAAAAAATAATCCACTGACTTCATCATTGTAACTTATCTTTAAATAATGTTATACTGTATAAATTTGCTAGTTTTAAGATTGCAAGGTTGAGCTACTACTTAACAATGGCACCTAATCTGGAGTTGATACTCATATGTGTGTGTGTGTGCATGTGTGTGTACTTGTACATGCTACACAGTGAGGACCAAAACATGTATTTTAGCAACAGAGTAAGGACATTTTGGCCAGTCCTCACTTTTTCAAAGGCCTGTTTGAGGGTTTAAGACATGGTTTTAGGGTTCAGGTTAGAATTAGGTTTAGGTTAGGGTTAGGGTTGGAGTTAGGCATGTAGTTGTGATGATTACAGTTAGGGTAAGGGGCTAGGTAATGCAATACGTCAATGGGGGTCCTCACAAAGATAGAAGTACAAGAATGTGTGTGTGTGTTATACTGCTGATATTTTTAGGCTGAAACTTTGCTCTAGACTCTTTGACTGACTGGATTTATCTTTAGGTGTTATTGTCTCGTCCATTATTAGCTCTTTACTGCATAGTATTTAAAGCGACAGGAATCAATTTTGAAAAATAGGTTATAGCCACATTGCTTTTTTTGTTCACAGTAAATATGTAAAAGACTCTGGGGTATATGGTAAAAATATTCTTAAAAATGTCTATTTTCATTACTAAGATTTATGAGGACCTTTATGAGCTGTGAATGTGCAAGCGTTTCAAGCTTTCAGATGCTACTGCTGTCAGAAAATCTGATGACAGTACTTTATGGCAACAATGACTACTGACCAAAGTTTTCAAGCACTTGTGAACCATCTCTGGTTCAGCACTGGCAGGTAAAAACAAAGTCTTTTAACTGTCCTGTTTTTCCCATCCTTTCCTCATATATGGCACATTGCTTCATTATGCTGGTGTCAATCTCAGTTTAAGGGCATAATGCCCTTTAGTGGGTGTAACGTTCGGCCAGATGGACATTAGTTTTCCTGTCTTGGGTAAATTACCCTTCTGATGTTTTCCTACAAGCTGTGTTTTACATATTATAGCCAGCATATGTTCTTGTTGAAACCCCGCCAAGACCAGTGAGTTGACAAAGTGTTTGGCTGTCAAAATGTGCTGGTACTGCCCTTTAACAACTGAACTTACTGTACACAGCAGACAGAAGAAACCCAATCCTCTACTTAAAGAGCCAGATTAGCCTGTGCTGGTGGTGTCTCGGAATATAATGATATAATTGGCACATTTTATTTGATCTTCTAGAGGTTTAGCAATCAGTATGTCATTTGGCAATATGTGATCAAATATAACATGTGGTTTCCTTTCATTCCTGGTGGAGAGTTGTGATTTAAAAGTGAACTGGAGTATATGCTGGATTTATAAAAAATATATTCTGCCATTTTGAAGAGCAGCTTTTAACAGTTTAGTTATGATGTTGTTTTGTTGGTAATGTAAGCCATGTTGTTGTAGAATTGTTTACTCCAAGAAGGCAAGCACGCACAGGAAGTACCACTTAGTCAAATTTAAACATCCTATAGATTATTTCAGAACTTATTTTGTCATTAATAGTAAATTAAAATCAGAATTGACGATGTTGACAAATCTGTGTACCTCATTTGATAATAAAAACATTGCTATCAACATCACAACCATAATATTGTATGGAAACTAACACCTCCTACAAATACTGTTGTTATCTCTGTGGGTCTGTAACAATCAGCTAATCAAACTGATATAAACCTAGTTAATGGTTTGTACGTCACTGATGTCACATCTATGTGATGTCAACAACCAAAGACAACACTGGCAGCAATATAATGCAAGTCACATTAAGTATTCAGATGTGCCAATCTGTAAAATATTTAAAAGCTATCCAACTTTAAACCTTTACTTCTTATTTCATGATGGCAGTTAATGGATATTCTCTTAAACAAAATTTATTTTCCTGTGCCTGGGTTACTGAGCTATACGTTTAAGTGTTTGGAAGGCCTGAGATTTCCACTTTGTAAATCATACTCAGTCTACCAGCAAACTGGTAGACTCGAATTTGCGTCCTGTTGGTTACATTTGCATGGGGCTTGTGTATACTTTTATACCCATGTGGTGAAAACAATGCAAATAAAAACAATTACTTATGTAAATGTGAACCGTGTCAAGCATGCACATTGTGACTAGATGTACAAGTTAGTACAGTACTATATTATTAGTACTATATTGTGTGTATTATTGGTTGATCGGGACAAAAAAAAAAACAAAAAAAACAGATGAATAAAATTTTAAATATTTGAACTATCTGAGAAGCGCTTGATTTATCTTTCCAGTCATTCGTGACTGTCTAAAAATGAAAGACAGTCAGGGCTCTTGGTAGCTTGGTGGGATAAGGCGCCGGCCTGCCGCGACTTGCACCATCATGTCTTCAAATGTGGTTCAAAACGTTTGGCACATGTCAATCTCTCATTCAAATCTAACACTCTCCAGTGTAGTTAACAACACAGAAATGTCATAAAAATGTCTTAAGAGAAAACATAAGATAAATGAAGCGCTCCTTGTGTCAAATATTTAAAATGAATCCATCTCATCTGTGTCCTGATTTGAGCAGTAAAAAAGGCACTGAGCTGGGAATAATTTTCAGTCCTAAACATATTACCTGCAATGAAATGGCTGGATTGCAGTTGGTTATAGTTTGCTGTGGGTTAGAAGCAGAAAAGGCTCTAAGATCAGCTTAGTACTAGTGTTTTTGGCATTTGTCCTTTGATGACCCCTTTTTCAAACCTATCTCCTTATCTGTGCCTCTCATTCATCTCTCCACACATCGGCCAACTGGTCCTACGTTGTCGGATGGATGCAACGAGCAGCAGATGTTAGAAGTATGTTTGGTAAAGCATGACATGATTTAGGGAAGGGGAGTTGTATTGTTCTTCAGTAATGGTCTTCCTTGTACAAGAGGCCATGATGCACAGCAAACATTTGTGACAATGTTGCCATCTTCTAAAAGTTCGTACAACTTCATACCTCAGCATCCACTTCATTAACGGAAAGTGGATTTGTTCTGAATGCGCAATTCCATTGCTAATGAGTGCAACACTGGTCACGTAAATGGGGTTTTCTCCGAGCATTGTTGCCTGTAAACCCACGTCAAGGTACTGTTTTTGAAAGAGGACAACTGGAGAGAACTAGAAACCAGGTATGGAGCTGAGGAATCCAGCTAGATAACTAAGTTTTATATTAAGGTTTCTCTGCTAATTGACCCCATTAGTACACATCCTTGGGGAAGGGTCCACGTTAGATGAGCATAGTTGCTGTTCCTCAAGTCTTTTGAACCATATCTCCCTTGCTCAGGGGAGATGAGGGCGTGTTGTTCTTTTTCATCTATGATGAGAGTATTTTTTTAAAGTTTCATTCATATAGGACTTCCCATAGGTCTGAATCCAAGTTTTCACAGAACGCATTTGCATATCCAAAGATCCGTGTGATCTGTTCCCTGCATGTCTCACAGGTTCAAATTCAGCCTCTCACATCATAAGTGTGTATCCTAGTCTGTGTGTGGGACCTACAAACTTGTTTCTCTTAGAAACATGGTCCCAATGCTGTAGGAGACTTTCCTCATAGAGGCCGGGGGAGCGGAGCGAGAGCTGGTCAATGAGGCGTGGCTGTGAGATGTCCCCGCCTCCAGGAAGTAACATGTCCCTGGGATCTCTTTGGGAAAATTCTCTGGTAGCTCCAGCCGTGAGCGAGGGACAAACGAAAAAGAGCGGTCATCCTTCAGCAACCTGTTGAGAAGAGAAACTTCCTTAGAGTACCATTAAAAAGCATTTATTGTCATGGCTACATGGTTAAAAATCTTGTGTATGTTTGTGTACATATGCAGTGCTGTTACTTACAGGTAAGTTGTGGGACTAACATTGATACACCTCGGATGGCTCCCCGATTCAAACTTGCTGGCGAGTGTCACGTTGTTCCCAAACAGGCAATAACGTGGCATTTTAACCCCGACCACACCTGCCAGCACCGAACCCGTGTGGATACCTATCCTTAGCTAAGAGAGGAATGGAGGAGGAAGGTGGTGGGAGTAGATTGTAGAGACAGGAAAGAGGAAGACGGGGAGAGAGATTGGAGAAACAACAAAATCAGCAGGATTTTAAAAGTACAGTAGTGTGTTTGACAATGTACATGCACATCACCTTTTCCCGATACTTCCTATTCATTTGTATGTCGCTTAATTGCCCGTCAGTGAAGTCTGATCTTAATATAAAATGATTTATTAAATAACTTATCAACAAAAAAAGTAATTAGCAACTTTTTTGATAATCAATGAACAATTTAAGTAATTTATCAAACAAAGATTAAAAACATTCATTATTTCCAGCTTCTTCAATGTGAGGATTTGATGATTTCCTTGGGCCTTTGTGATAAAAGTGATTATCTTTGGGGATGGACTGTTGATGAGATAAAAAAAAAAAGAAGCCATTTAAAAACATTACTCTGGACCTTCCTGTTATATTTAGAATTAATTTTAAGGTCCTCCTTGTATACAAAGACCTAAATGGGCTGAGACTGAGTTACATCACCAACTCCCTTTGTTAACTATTTGCCTCCAAGAACCCTGCGATCATTTGCTTCTGGTTTATTGGAGGTTCCCAGCAACAGCCGGAAGAAGTGCTTGTACTACCCTTATTGTAAAGCACTTTGCGCTGCATTTCTAGTATGAAACTTGCAATATAAATAAGGTTTATTGATGTTATTATTATTGGTAAATTATGATGGGCTTCATTTTTTGGACTGTTTATACACATTGAAATGAATTAATATAGAAACCCAGAGCTCATCTTGTGATTGGATCGCTTCAGCAGTAACACAGCAATCTGGATTTAAAGTGAATTTTGGGGAGGGGTGTTAAGTGGAGGGGGGCAATGGCCCCTTCCCTAGTTCCAGTGGCCTTGCTTGGACCACTTCAAACTCTGTCTTCATAGTGATCTCAGCTACAAACCTCTGTCTTGCATGGTTGCGACTTTATCGCATTGATAAAATCCGTCCACAGACAGACAGGCATCTGGAAAACTACTAAAACACTCAGTTAGTGCCACCAGGACCACATTTTACCATGACGACACACACACACACGTACACATCGTTGTCGCCACTGGAAATAATTAGGACTTTAATCAATATGAAAACAATCATTATTTGCAGTCCTGTTTCGATCTCACTTTGACCGATGTCATGTCTGGCTTTGAAGATCTGAGAGCAATGTGAGCAAACACCTGGCACCTAAAATGACCAACCTGTCACACCCTGAACTGCACCATCACTACATACCTGGCACTGCCGTAAATGTTCATAAATAAGATCTCCCTGCTGAACTGATCCCACTCATTCATGTGCCGCCTATCCTGCAGCACAAAGGCCATGTTGCTTTGAACCAGACGTGCTGCGTGCACATTGATCTGCCGAATGGAAATTCTCCATGTCGGCTTAGCTGTTATTATCCAGTCTGATTTCCTGTGGCAGCAGATTTGATGAAAAATCTTAAAATAGCAGAAGTGGGATAGGAATATTAATCAAATAATTAATTACCTCCATCTCATCTTGGTTACAGATATAGGGCAGCAACATGGTGCTCATATTATAATCTGGCTGAAGTGGGAATCTATAAATGGCTGGAGGCAGAGTGAAAGCTATCTCGCCATCATTCCAATTCAACCACACCACTTCATGGCCACTCGACTAACTACTGATTTCCTCCACTTGGAAACAACAAGTCATCGCGCACACACACGCATGCGCACGCATGCACGCACACAAGCCAGTGAAACCCAGTAGATTTCTAATGATCTACTTGAGCATCTCATCACCTAGGTATCTAACGCCACTGTGTGCATGCCAGCACACTGCAAGGTAGTCATGGCAACAACAGGCGATGGGGGTAGTGAGGTAGAAAGAGCCCAGACAGACAGACAGAAAGACAGAAAGAAAGACAATGGAGGGAGACAGAGAGAGACAAAAATAAACTTATAATTAGACGGCAAAACCTTGACAGCACAGGAGGAGTGATAAAGGAAGCAAGAGACAGAGAGCGAGGGAGAAAGGGCTGCTAGGTGCACTAGTGTGACCTATTTTTCAGTTAAACTGCATACAGATGGCCGTGCACTTGTCTGTCTATCTCTACAACAGACAACCACTCACAGACACACACACAAACAAATCTGCATCCAGCGCCCACTCTCCTCTTTATTTCTTAGTCTCAAAACACAGACACAGTAACACTCATACACTCTCCCCCTCCTTTTTCACTATGAGTCAGCATCCACACAGCACATGGCCCTCACCGAGCCAATGAGCAAACGGCGCAGCAGCACAGACGACCAATCACATTGTAGCCTCTGGCCAAGCTGACAGAAGGATACAGACATGGAGATAGACTGAGACAGAGAGAGGAGGGAGTTGTTACAGAGTCTGTGTTGTTACATATACACTTAGCTGTCAGTTCATTAGGTACACTGCGCTTTAAGTAATCCAGACAAAACAGTCCTGCAATAAATCCTGTCCTTTTGGAGGACGAAGTTTGTGGTGCTGCTCTACTGTATTGCATTATAAATAGAGTTGGAATTATTTAGCTTAGTCTCATTGGTATAAATGAGGTGGACAAAAAAGGAACAGCCCCATCACCAAAAGAAAATGTTGGCACTGGACATTTTGCAAACCACAGATACGTTACATTTGCACGTGTCATACGTATCATATCAATGTTTCAAAAAGTGACATAATATATACGCTGACATTGTCATTGGGTGGTGGCTAGGACGGTGGAAAGCATGTCACCTGAGTGAGATGCTTGCCAAGCTGCAAACTGGATTTTTAGGCTCAAAACCTGGGTGTTTCGTTGTGACCCGTCGACAGAGATATTGCCACGATTTCTACAGGCATAGCCACTTTTCTTGCTGGGATTGTGCCCCCAAACTGGGTATTTTAAGCCAAAACCTGATGTTTTCCTAGCCATAACCAAGCTCTTTTTGTGCCTAAACCTTCCCACACCTTAACCATATTCATCCTTATCCTGTTAGGGGTCACGTGTGTGATGGAGCCTATTCCAGCTGACACAGGGCGACAGGCGGGGTATATCCTGGACAGGTCGCCAGACTATTACAACGAGACAAACAACCATTCACACCTACGGACAATTTAGAGTCACCAGTTAAACTGCATGTCTTTGGATTGTGGGAGGAAGCTGGAGTACCCGGAGAAAACCCACACTGACATGGAGAGAACATGCAGGCTCCCTGGCTTCGAACCGGGAACCCTCTTGCTGTGAGGCAACAATGCTAACCACTGCACCACCATGCCGCCACCTTATTCACAGTGTCCACATAATAATATGCAAATAAAACATAGCTGTGGTTTGCAGAAACGTATGATACCACGATTTTTTTCTGGCGATTGGGTTGCTGTTACAGTAGACTGCATTATTATAACTAGGTGTACCTAATAATAGCAATACCAATAGCACATACACAAATGATGTTAGACTATTGTCAAAGGAAAAAAAGTGTTTTTATGGTTTTTAGTGCTGAAACAATGAGTTGATTAATTGATTAGTTAAACCTTTGTGTACTGCAGAGCTGAAGGTGCTAGCAACTGCAAGATGGACATACGGTCAGAAAATATTCTGATGATATAGTGACATCACATCCAGTAAAAAAAGCAATGTCATTTATGAATTCAAAATGCTCAGATACCGCTGGTGTAATGTATGTTTGGTGGAAGCCCACATGAACACATTTAACAATGTTAGCAGTGACAAGATAAGCACTACACCCCTAATACTCACACCCACTCACCTATTCATACACTCACTCATACACATGAGCACACACATGCAAAAGCATCATGCTACGGGCCTCAAACTGATGCAGAAATATTTATGAAAACAGCTAACAATGTTTGGTGTCTGTATGTGTTTCTCCTTTGGTGTATTTGCTGTATATCTATCTGTATATTTCTCTCTGTGTCCCTGGATCGCTCTCTCCATTTCTCCCTCACTAAACATTTTCTCTCAGTTCTCCCTCACAGCTCTCGTGCTAGTTTGCATAACAGTGCAACATTGGCTGGAGTTTGAGTGCACTCACTGAACAGGATTTATCATGCTCAAGTGCTGAATATCTCTATAACTCTCCTTTATACTAACATGAAATGAGGAGGGATGAGAAAGAGGAGAGCATAACAGACAGCGTAAAATATAGAAAAGCACAACAGGAATAAAAACTGAGAGCAGAAGAAAGTAAGGAACGGAAGAGGAGAATGAAAGGAGTGAGTTCGAGTGAGGTTGCAGTGGAGAGGATTGGGGGGGGGAGAAGAGGAGGGGGAGAGGGAAAGACAGAGACAGGAAGAGGAAAGACAGAGAGGGAGAGAAAGTGGAAGAGCAAGAGAGCAGGCCAAAAATGCTTGGCAAGGCCTTTCTATTTTGAGACAAATGGACAATGTTAGGAGCACAGCAGTACACAGAACAGTGTCCTGTCTGTTATTCTGCAGCTATCTGTCTTAGCTTCTCTCTCACAGACATGTTTTGTTCCTATCTGTGTCACTCTTATCTGTCTTTTTAAACAAGTTAAAATCAAATGCGCGCATAGCAAAAAAAAAGAGACATTAAAATAGATTGAATAATTTCAATAGGACTTGCAGTCTTAAAAGCAGAAGTCTGCCATTATTCTAGATTTTTCTTGTACTAACAAAATGTTAGCCTGTATCTCAATACCTCTTGAATTACCTACCATGTCTGTGGCATTCAGCACATAGCCTATTTAATGTTTCTGAATGTAGTATATTGTGGGTGCTATTTTCTATTTCACAAGAGTTTTTCCCAGTTTAAAGAAAAAAAAGAATACCGCCAGTCTTATCCTGTAATATAATGAATATGATCAAATGAAAGTCAGTAACATTGATCTTAACGTCTCCAAAAAAGTAAATGTAACTTACTGTACATAACTCATATTTATGACACTGCAAGTAAACATCCAAGCTAGCAAAGTTACCAAAGGCAGCCAAAGTCCCCGATTACAAACAGAAAACATTTTAGCAGCTGGAGACGGCTTTTTGTTTTTGTTGTTTTTAATGAGAATTAAGCCTTTTGTTTGTTGTTTTTGCGTTGCTACACACCTCGTATTTCCGCGCTCTAGGCACCTGCCCTTTTTGTTGGAGTGCTCTGAACTCCACGAGTTGAAAAAACTTCAACTTAAAGCGGAAAAGTGCCATACCTCATCTCTTTTTTCAGCATCTTTTTTCCCATTGTTCAATCAGATGATTTAAGAAGTTTATAGTTGGTAAACAATGGAGGAGAAACTGGTGGTAGCAGTAGCTGGATACCCAGAGCTGTACTGCCTGAAAATAGACAGCAGGTTGTCAAACTGCCTCTGAGTCATCCTAAAATATGCCTGGAAATGGAAAACATCGAGGGGAAGCTCCTGTACCAACTGGTGGTACTCCCCTGATCCACCCTCTTTTTTAGGGTCTCATGTACCCACACAGATCTCTGAACTATTTGCTGACAACCTCTCACCCTCAGCCAGAGCTACAACAAGTACCCTCTGCCTGTTCATTTTAGTAACTACTAATTACTGTGAAATAAAAGAAAATAATTAACGGTAGATTGATTACACAGGAAGGTTAATGTAAGTACATGATGGGGTGGTTGGCAACAATTAAAAGGTGTAGCAAGCATTTTTTTTACTAATGGCATTCAATTTAAAAAAAAAAAAAAAAAGGCAGTGTGGTGCGCCTCACGTTTTGCAACATGCAAAACGTTTTCCTGCTTTCCGTGTGATTGGCGCCTAAGGGTGATGGTTGACCTTGACAGAGACTGGCCTGAGGATGGACATAAATAAATCATATCCTGTATTCCCTTTACATTCTACGAAATTAACCTAAGAGGTTAAAACTCAACTCTCTCAGTTATGCCTCTTTCCTTTGCTCCCTGCTCAATATACTCATCTTTTTTTCTACAAAACAGCAGCTTGTCTTTGTCTGTCTGACGCCACTGTTACATAATGTACTGTTAAATGCAGTTCCACCTGGACACATGACATGGATTAACCTTAATCTTGTCTTAACAATGTATCTGAGCAAAAAAGGCTCTAAACCCTCTGAAGGTGGATCATCACATGATGAAAAATGTCAGTTCTACCTTTTTTTTCTTCCACAGCAAGTGCATATTCAGTTGATGTATGGAGCACGTGCTTTTCCTTTAGTAACATAACTGTTTTGTATTACATACTGTTCAGAGACAGGTAAAATACAGCAATGGTACAGAAAAAAATGTTTCCTGCAATGGTGTCAATCAAGCAACCTTTGTGGGGTTGTGTTGGGTGAATACAGTACGCACAGCCTGACGTACACATCATATCTCAACAACATAAAATGGAGAAAGAGGAAAAAAAGAGGTCAGAATAGAGGAAAGGGAATAGGTAAGTCAGAGAGTGAGACAGAGAGTAGACTACAGTTACAACACATGGCAGTTGCAAACCAACACACACACTCAGAAGCATATGGTACATAAATAGAACAAAACATCACATGCATACACCCGCACAGCACACATAGGCACATATAACCATCTCGCACTGTAAACACAAATGCATCTACATTAAGAAACGTCCACTGACACTTGTGAGGCAGGCTCCACGGTGCAGCATCTCACTGCAAATCACAATATAAGTGTGTGAATGTACAGAATGATTTATTTTTCTTCTGTCTTTCTCATCGGCAAAGGTCAGTGTAAAACATTCAGGAAGCAGCTTGTCATCTTCAGCCAGCACTGACCATCACTTTCACCAGTTTAAATGACCCTAGTTCATATGAGCTGTCACTAATTAAGGTTATTTCTGTGGGTAAATTGATGACATGCCAGAAATAAACTTGGCTGTTATGGGTTTGTAAACTATTTGTAAGCCTGTGTCAGTACTTGGCCTTAGGGTGTTTATGAGGTAAAAGGCATCTCTGTAAAACCTCAGTATAAATGTGAGTGGCTGGGTGTGTTTTTGTTGTTGCTGAGAAAGATATGTTTTTCTCTCCCATTTTTAAACTAGTTGAACTTTTATTCATATCATACTTATATTTTATAATGATCAACTTAATAGTTCTGAACCAGGGCGTTAAGCATTTTGATCACATAGTTCATGAAATTAAAATGTGTCAAATTTGGAAGGCTACAGCTTATTTCTGTGCATCAGATACAAACTCAGTCAACATTTGGGTAAATTTAATTATCAGATTGGATTCAATATAACTCAATATTAAGGTAGTCAAATCGTTGCCAAAAAAACATCCACTCAAAGTGGGCAGGAGAGGAGGTCGATAGGATCCAACAAACACCAGACAACATTGTTTGCGGTGTCTGTGCTTCTCAAAGCCAGATGCTTTTCAGCAACATTTACAATCTTTTCCTGACCACAACTAAGTAGTTTTGTTGCCTAAACTACTTAGTTAACCGTTGATCCCTTCGGTGTCAAAATACAACACAAAAGGCTGCCCCTTGATCATTTTAGTAAGGCCAGGGCTTCTGCCCAAGTGGCAGAATATGACGAGTTGGGATGAGATCATGTTAAATAATGGGAATCATGTGCCAGATGGTGAGGCTGTGGGGAGATGCTGAAGAACATTGACATGACATTTCTGGGAGCACATCAAACAACTACCCCAAGTGACACAAAGCTAGAAGCAAAATAATGATTTTTTTTTTTTTTTTTAAAGTGAGGCATCTCTCAATCTATGTCACTCTTTATGAAAATGACTGAGTAGATTGAGTAAATCCAATCTTCATCAATCATTCATCTGTCCACTGAGATCCCTTATACCTATACCATCTTCCCATTTTCCACATCCATCCATCTATCCATGTCTAGAAATGGGAATCAAGAACCAGTTCCATATTGTCTGATCCATCAGAATCACGTGCCTCAGAGCTTATCAATTCCATTTATCAATGCTGGCATGTTTTTGTACACAAATATCCCCTCATTTCACACTATGTTCAGAAATAATAAAACAGTTGCACTGACTGAAAACCTGTATAGGCCTCCTTTTGATTCCATCAATATCAAATTGATAGAGTTTAAATAAAGGATCAAGCCAATAAGCAAAATTGATAACGCCACTGAAATCCAAAAAATCAAATCAATTTCCAGACCTATCAATGTCCAACACCAAAGTATAGCAAAATATGTCAATCACAACACAAACCCTTCCAGTCAGTAATATATTTTGTCATCACCATGGCAACCGCACATGACGTGGTCCCTAGTGCTGTAACCTTGACTATCCTGAAATGATCAATCAATTCAGAACCAGAAAGCCATTTAGATACAGGTACAAACAGATACACAGATGGACAAACTTTCAATTACCATATCAGACCGAAGGCAAAGATTAAAGGAAACTGTCCTCAGCAGGAAGGGGTCATGGCTAAACTGGCTAATTCATTTAATTCTACATAAAGTCTTTAGTGGTTAGCTTAAGGGTGGTCGTACACGAAGTAGATCTTTTGGCAATGCACAGTAGATCTCAATAACATTGTCAAAATGTATTAAACTCTTGTCTTTGGCGCTGCTCTCTATCATTAATCTCAAAGCTTGTACAAATGTTACAAGCCACTGTTAGCATCTTAATGCATTTTCATAATGCAGGGGCAGCTCAGTGGATGGTGCACCTTAACTACAGGGCTTCCTGCAGCGTTTGGTGGTGGAAGAATCAGAAGAATTTGTTACATTTTTAAAGAAATATAATATTAAGCTTATTAAACTTTGGGGAAAATGAGCAGTGGCTCTATATCACACAACAAAAGCCATGTATTTGATGAGTTTTGTGATTGTTTAAGCTGTCGTAAACTAACAATTGATGACAACATGTGTCAGGATGTGCATGCTTCAGCTCAGCAGGTGACTGATTGTACATCCGCTTCATGGTAATCAGGAAGGCCACGATGTTAGGGACAAAAACCGTCTGTGTTTTTACAAGTTGGGAAAAGTAGAGACAAACAAACAGACTGATAATCATCAATTGGACACACAGTTTACCTTTTATTCTTCCGGGAGAATCCTGAACTGTACCCACATGTTAATTTTCATGCAAACACTAAGGCACAGACTCACATCCATTATACAAAACATTCAGAGGCCAGACTACAGTTGGAGACAGAGGCTAAAACCACGAAGAGATGAGCACGATAAACAGGAGATACATTTTAATATGTAAAATACAGCTGATTAAATGTAAAACAGCACACAGAGATGCATGAACAGACAAAGCAAACGAACATACAGATCATAACAAGTCACATGGCCACTAGGGGTGTAAATCACCAGCTTCATCACGATACGATATTATATCGATTTGTTTGGATGACGATACGATGTTTACCGATATCACAAAGTCTGTCACGATGCTATTTTGATTCGATTCGATTCAGGAGTCTGCGATCGATATGATGCAATATCATATGCCCATCTAACACAATCATTTACATCAACTCACAAAAACAACTAGAATATGATTTGACCATTTTGTTTCTGAGCTCTGTTTGTTGTTTGAGCGGAGGCGCGTTTGCCCAGAAATGGTGACACAGACGTGCTATGTGAATTTCAAAATAAATGTGTATCTTTAAGATGACGATATGGATCGATGTTTTCATTTTGCATCGATATAATCTGATCGTTAATCAATGAATTGATGTATCGATGTGGATTGATGTATCGTTACACCCCTAGTGGCCACGTAATCTAAACTTATGCTATGAGCGCAAACTATGAACATGTAAAATACAGAAAGAAAGGGAATTCATCTAGTTTGTGTCGCAAAAGATAAAACTTACCTTGATAGGCTTCCCATCAGGTGTCAGCACTTCCTCGGAAAGCTCCATCATTTTCAGAGCCATGTGTGCAATTGGCTTCGCGTGACTATCAACCTTCTTGTGAAGTCCTCCTGCCACACAATAGGCATCGCCTATTGTTTCAATCTGTGTGAGAAATGAAGGAGGAAGGGCAGAAACTAAAATGAATTAGTCTGGCTTTGAGTGTAATACACTGATGTGTGAAACTATGTAGCCATTCAATCACTTATGCCATCTCCACTGAGTAGCAGAAATTAAAAGCACTCCTTCATTCCTCTTGTAATGTAAGAACTACAGTGTCTGACTGTTTCTCTCTCTTGGCCTGCATCGTTCACAGTAAGAGGTGGTGAGCATTTGGAGAGGATCTCACGAAAGCCACTTACAGCACCTTGCACTGCTTGTGACCCAGTCTGAGAGGCCAGAAAACCCAAACATAAAAGGAATTTTTATTGATTCATCTTTTGCCACAGCAACTATCACAAGGTCCCTGAAATTCAGCCTCACCTTTACCATGTATCATCACAGAAATATGGCCCATAATCACAAAATCTTCCATCTCACTAGATGTTTTTCAATTTAGTTAATAGTTTGACTGCAATTTATAAAACACAAGACAAATGTTTTTTTCCCATTATTATCATACATAAGGAAATATGGAATAATTCACCCACAAAACTTGTATATAAATTACTCACCTCATGTTACCTTGAATTCATAAAGAAAACTTTTATTATTACTCCCACATGCCTCCACAGTGAACGAATAATCAAAAAATGGATAAAGTTCTTGATGATTGATGATTTGGAGTAAATGGGAGTTTAAAACACATGTGCATTAACAGCCTCATGCACAGATGAGTAGCGTGCCTTGGCATTTAAACTTTGCTCAGTGGAATGCACAAGCAGAGTTCAAACACAGGTACTTGCCCAGGTGCACTACATGTATACGTGTGTTTTAAATAGCCTAGTAAGGTTTGGGAAGTACTGATCATACGACTGGACAAATGAGACTTAGATTATCCTGCATGAGTAGCGAGAGGGTTTTTCTGTTGTTCAACGTGGCCTCCTTTACTTCAGTTCATCAAGAATTTTCTCTTCGTTCACCGTGGAGGCATGTCAGAAAATACAACGTAACACAGGGTGAGTAATTGATATACAAATGATCATTTTGTGGGTGAAGTATTCCTTTAAACATAAATGGCTGATGCATTTTAGTGTGCCAAAGTTAGCTTTAAGCTAAAAATGGGTGTGAAATGTTAATGGTTTGGTAGGGAGAGATGCTTGGATTAGAGAGATGAGACCATGTCACTTAATCTTTTAAGCAACAGCACAGTGTTTCCCACATACAGTAGGCAATCAATTTGGGCAACTTACCCCAAAATATTTGTCCCCACTGAAAGAGATTTTTTTTTTATTATATTTATTATTTGTTTCTGTAAAACATTGTTATGGAAATACAGTTGACAGTGCAAGATTTAGCCTGAATTTTGACACCGCTTTGACAATCCTAATTTGTTGGCCATAACACTAAGGGAGGTTTTATTCTCCAAAAGTGCTCCCTTAATGGAATGGTAGTAAGTTGTGAAAAGAGCTCGTTCCACAACCTCAACAACAGCTGCATAGACAGATGAATTAAGATTTAAGTCATGAAGTCATTCCTAGTCCACGTTTGGGCTTATTATGCCAGAGACTGCAGTAATTGAATTACTTCCCAAAGCCAAATTCAAATGCATGTTAATAAAGCAAAACAAGGAGTTTCACTTTCATGGATGTGTTCACATATTTCCAGTTGAAGGAGTGAGCTAGGTGTCACAGCAGCTACCACAGTCCTTAAAGCAAAAAAGAAAAATAGATTGCACAAGAGAGGAGAAGGAGAGGAGGGGGAAAGAAAACTAGGAGACAAACTGCTCTCATTTAGGCCTGCCACTGGCTAAATCATTTCGACAGTAACCATGACAATGGCAACATATGAGTGCGCCAATCTTCTCACCATGTCCTCCTGTTCCTGCTTTCTCTCTTACACATACACACTCACTCTGCAACTGCTACACACATAAACACTCTCTGTATCTCCTCTTCTCTTTCTCCAGGCATCTGATACAGTACATGACATTTCTGAGAGATAACACAGGAAAAAATGCATTTTTTGAGGGGGGAAAGTGGCAGGTATATGGTGATGTCACAGGGATTGAGGTATAGAGATAGAGAGTAACGATGATGCTGATGATGGAAAGAAGGAAAGGTGGAAAGAGTTAAAACAAGAAGAAATACTGATCTGATGAGAGAAAGTAAGGATGAAAGGAGGAAGAGATGGCAGCATAGAAATAAAATTCTATTTCTATGGACGGTTGCCTACAGTGAAGACTGTAACTAGGCCACACTGTCAGATGGACAATATTGACACATCTTTGTTAAGCTCCCACAGACTGGCCATTAATAAGTTACTTTTTCCACAACACAAGCTCAAGCTCGCCTATTCATGATAGCACATTCACATGTAAAGAGAACACACACACACACACACACACACAAATACATCCTGTGCACAGACAATGGCACAACCTAAAGATTTAGTTTCAGAGACAGATGGTGACACTTTGAAGACCCCATGGAGAGGAGGCTCTATAAAGCCTTGTTTCCATCAAGCAGTCCGGTTCGGTTCAATTTAGTTCGTCACATATTAGAATGGTTATTTTTGTGTTTCCATTATCAAAAGTTGTGGATGGTAACCCTCCCAGTGTGTTTCGCATCATCCCAACATCCTATCTCAGCAGGTATTACTACATCACATAAAGAAGATGTGTGCATCTCTCTGTCTACTGACCTTATAAACATCCAGAATGCCACACTGGTAGTCGAATCGTGTGTAAAGCTCATTCAGCATGGAGATGACCTGCATGGGTGTACACTGGGCACACACAGCAGTAAAACCCACGATGTCTGAGAACAGCATGGTGACGTCATCAAATTTGCGAGCAGGCACTGGCTGGCCCTGCCACAGTTTCTGTGCCACATCACCTGGAAATATGGAATAGAGGAGATCCACGGTTCTCCTCTTTTCCTCCTCCAGCGCCTGGTGAGTCCGCTCTAATGTGGCCTGGGAGGAGAGAGACGAGAAGGAGATTAGGGGGTTTTGTTCTGTGTGCTTTGCTTTGATGAAGGCACTGATGACAACGATGCGGAGATGTGGGAGTACTGCACCAAATTAAAACTGCTGGTGCACGTAAATGTATTTGTGTATTAGTTTGATTCATTTTTGATTGTGTGTATCTGCATACGCATAACTGTGTCTGTGGGCGAGCTTCTTAATGCCAAATCTGCCTGATGCAGTGCTATACCATTGTTCGAGCAGGCAAGTCAACTAAGATATAGCTATTTATAACAGCGGCCTGGGGGAGTAGTCGCAGTGTGAGAGTGTTGCAGCGAGCAGATGCATAGGATTGGGTCAAGACTCAGTGGCTTGCTCAAGGGTACTTTGAAAGCAAATTATAAGAGCAAGTCCCGGGAGCCATGTTCTTCCAGCCATCATGAATCAGCCGATACGCTGGATTTAACATGTTCGCTTCAGTGAATCGTCTCACATGATGGAAAACAAAAATAAAAAGCTACCAAACATACTGAATTTTTTTTTTTTTGCATTTTCACTATTTCAAGTGTCATGGTCGCAGGTTGTCATTTGGTCGTTTAGTGTATGCTGTGGCCTGTTAGTAAGGCTTAGTTGTAATTAAAGCCTGCGACCCTAACAACAAATCATTTTACCAGTAATGCCTCGGCTGTGACACAAGCTAGTGTATGTGATCAGCTTACTGTAAATTCAAACAAACATATTCCACCAACCGCTCTACCTTAAGTTTGTCCATTCTCTTCTTTAGTCCATCCTGGGCCTTGGCCTGCTCCCCCACCAGGATAACGTCCCGTGTGGCATCGTGGATGGGGATATCTGACAGATGGAGGCCCCTGCCCATCAGCTCCTCCAGCTTATCAACACGTGGCGAGCCCAGGAACATCAGGGAGCAGGACTCGGGCACATGGATCATCTGACCCTTCAACTCCATGACCTGTGAGGAGGAGCAATTAAATGAGAAATTAAAAGTGAATCTTAATTTTTTTTATAGATATTCACTTAGAGAAAGTGAAATGTTACAGACAATCCTGCAGAAATACACCGAGCCAGAGGAGAGGGGGGATGGAAGACAGGTTGTGAGATCTAGACAGCATGCTCATTATTTGCCTCTCGTTACTATGGATGTCATGTCAACCTGATACTTGCTTTTCTTGAACTAATGTGCTCCAACATAGGTCATTAACAAATAATGATTCATTGTATTTTCTTCTATAATTTCTCCCTACATGAATTTAGGTGTATAAGAGTGATTTAAGAATGACTCTTGAATATATAGCTAATTAAATATGTAATTATTTTTTCCATTTACCAACTTCATTGCAGGTCTACGGAAACATGTCAAGGTCATATTGTGGCAACAACTTTAGCTTTGCCTTTGTTATTTGTGGACTTTTCCTCAGCGTTCAATACGATTCAGCCCCACCTGCTGGTGGAAAAGCTCACCGAACATTTCAAGCTGGACTGTAACATTGTGGGTTGGATCCTGGACTTTCTCACTGACAGGTCTCAGAGGGTTAGAGTAAATGAGCACATATCCACTCTATCAAAAGCATCAACTGGATCCCTACAAGGCTGTGTTCTCTCTCCTCTCCTTTATATCATGTACACAAACGACTGCCGTAGTAAATTTGACAACCATCACATTGTTAAATTTGCAGATGACAGTTATTGTGAGCCTGTTAAATGACACTGAAATGTCCCATGGTCCCGTTTTAAATGAGTTTTTAAAGTGGTGCAATGAAGCCTTTTTGGAACTGAATGTCACAAAAACAAAGGACATGTGCATTGATTTTAGATGCAACCACCCTGCCCCTGTAAACGCCACTGTAAATGGAGAAATTGTGGAGATTGTCGATTCGTACAAGTACCTGGGCATCATAATCGACGATAAACTGACTTTTGAGGGAAACACCGACATGCTGATCAAGAAAAGCCAGCAGCGTCTGTTTTGTCTAAGGAAGTTGGCAAAGTTCCAGGTCGACAGATCTCTGATGACAATGTTTTATAGATCTTTTATTGAGTCTGTTGTCACCTTTTCTTTTATTTGCTGGTTTGCATCACTCAATCTGAAACAGAAAAACTCATTAACCAAGATAACAAAAGTCAGCAGCAAAATCATTGGCACTCAGCAAAAAACCCTTTCAGATCTGTACAATAACCAGCTATCAAAGAAGGCAAAATCCATTATGTCCAACAGCACTCACCCCCTGCATTCAGAATTTAAGTTCCTGCCCTCTAGTTCCCGTCTCAGACAACCATTAGCCAAAACTAACAGATACAAATTCTCCTTCATACCCTCTGCCATCTCACTGCTTAACTCTGTACAGTACAGGTAGCACCATCATTAGTTCATATTTTATTCAAGTATGCGTTTTTATTTATTTAGATACGACTGATTTTATGTGACTGTTGCCTTGTGTGTGTCAACCTTGTTGTTGTCATTGTTGTTTGTTGCTGTTGTTTTTATTGCTACTGCGGCAGAATCAATTGCCCCTCAGGGACAAATAAAGGTCTTGAATCTTGAATCTTGAATCTTTGGAAAATGCGCCTACAAGCATACAAATTATGAACATATTGAACACAAACATACCTTTCTATGCTTACATGCCTGCGCACAAACCCATGCATATGCACACACACACATACTTAACCACATGTGTACTAGAGTGCAGCTTGATTTCTATCCAAACATAACCCCTGTCCAGACAGTAGTAACTGAACCTGACCTAAACCTGGCAGGCATTCTGTTTTTATGCCCAAACTGACCTGAAGCGGACGCACTTAACATAAGCTAAAACACTGAGCTTGTGTCACCCTGTCAAGCAATGGTTGTTACCATGGTTACAGCTTGCCTCCATCATTTTTACACCATATTTTCACAAAAAGAACTTGAATCAACATGTGAAGTAGGCCAAACCAGACCTGAACCTCAACATAATTTGTGAATATTTGTTCAAACCCGGCCTGGCTCGGGTCATGTATCCACACTTAATGCAGTGGTTCCCAACTGGTCCAGCCATGGGGTCCAGATTTCTCCTTAGTCATTAGTTCAAGGTCCACACAGTTTAATATACTCAGCATCATACTTGCGTTTGGCCATGTTGTGAAGCTAGTTTGCTGTCTCTGTTATGTAGCTGTCCGTTTGTCACTCACTCTACAGCAGGAAACAGCACTTCAAAATAAATGCTTTGTGCCAGAAATTCACTTTACTTACAAATACATGTAGTTTTTTACAAACTCGACACATTTTAGAGTCGCTTGCAGTCCATTCAGATTGGTTGGGAACCACTGCTTTAATGTATACACGCACACAATGTTGCACATACAACGAGATTACAGCAAGAGCAGATTACTGTGATTAGGTTGACAGTAAATTTAATTTAGCAATGGGAGGCCTAATATATAATGCATGCTGCCCTGTACGGAAAGTGCTTGTAAAAACTGAGTAAACTGGTGACCTAGTTATTAAGGAGACAATCCTGTCATCAACATAATGGGCCCTGCCAGGCGTGCGGCGCATGGGCGTGTCCCAGTCACTTGCTAGTAAGACAGCGCGTTTTTAGACTGTGCGCCATGGCAGAGAGTCTAAAAGGGTTGGACTTACTCTGTGAATTAGTCATGGGTGTGTTTTGGGCGTATCATTCAATAAGCCAATCAGAGTGTCACCTCTCATTCCCTTTAAAAGAGGCGTGATTGGAGCACACAGCGGAGAGCTAGATGTCGGACCTACCAACTCCTCGTGTGGGAGGTGAAGGCCCATCAGAACCAGATCTATGGGGACAGCAGACAGGCACCCAAGCTCCCCGAGGATTTCACAATTTCATTTGTCATTATTACAAATTATGATGACCATTATTACTGCGATTAGATCATTCTGATTAATGACTGATCATTAAGACGTGTTTCTGATAAACATTTTAATGTGCACAATAATAACCTTTCACACTGTAATCATATTTTTATTTGTTATCTTTTGCATGTGTGGCTGCTCTGTGTGCGTCTGAGCAGAGTGCACGCGCGTTGTGCACCCGCCTAGAGACGCATATTACTAACTTGTTTAACAGCAAAATACTGCGCCGTGGACTTTAGACCAGGTTTTTGTTGGTCACTGGCGCATTTGCTTTTTACGTCATCTAACTAGCAACGCGCCATGACTGCGCCTGACCACTCCTCAATTTTAGACTAACAACTAACACACCCAGAGAAGCGCAAGTTCATTTGCTAGTTAGACGACAAGGGCGCAGGGTGTGAAAATGACAACTGCACCTGCATCTAAATAGCAATGACACTTGCGACATGGATTATGCGCCCTCCGCCGTCCGCTTTAGACCATCTAAATAGGGCCCATAGTCTCTGGTTTGACACACACTGTCTATCCACATATTTTAGAACAACAAATGCTTAAACTAGGATCATATGTAATGTTTTTGAGATTAAGCATTCGAGTTATGAGACAAATCAAAAATCAAACAGAAGATAATGGGCTGCAGCTGTACTAACAGTTGCAGTCTTATTGTTAACAGTATTTGCAAATGATGAATAAGAATTGGTTTCACTAGCTTCTCGACACTTTGCTCACAAGCACTTCGACATGATGACAAATATGCGAAGGTCCTGCTGAATGTCCTCAGCAAAGGTGTGAGGAGTACAAACAAAACAGCCTGCCTCTTGGTCCTTGCAGATACAGAAGAGAGAGATTGAAACGGGCATGGCTGACTGATTACCCAAGGAGATGTTGAGGAAAGACATCGCTGCCCTTTTGAATATGACTCTTCGCTGTTTCACGGTTCTAACTACGAGAAGCCCCATGGATAAGCCACTCGTCTCTCCCTGGGCACGATTTCTCTTCCTCCTGCTCAGTCCTTGCCCCCGTTCCTTCGCTTTCTTTAGTTTCTCGTTCTCTCTCCGTATTCACCTGTCTTTCATTGCTGCCCCCCCTCCACCCCTCTCTGTCTCTTCAATTACTTCTCTCTCTCTCTTTCTCCATAGTGTCAGATAGATTATTCCGCCAGTGAGCACACTGCAGCCCTGTTTTATTTATAGCACAAGGCTCTCCTAGGTCTGCATAATACATACAGTCTACATCTACACACACACACACAGAATACATCCAGTGGGGAGACACACATGCTGCCCCTGACTGTCTGTTTCCCAGAAACATTGACATACATACACATAAACACACATACAAACATATATGCACATACTGCCGACAACCCACAGGGTCTGAGGTCAAGACACACCCATCCTCTCAAACACAGCCTGGTGTGATCCACTTAGTACAAACTGACAGATTCAGAACACACTCACATATATTCATTCAGTAGTTTAACAGGCACGGTTATTCTACTAGCACATTTACCGTATGCCTAACATCTGCACACGCTGCCACAGCAACACAGCAGTAGTCACAGTGTCATGTGGGAGTTTAAACACCCACTCAAAAGCTCATTTATGACAGGAATTTACCCGAAATGTTAGCTGAGATCTGGGAACGCAACAACATCGCTACAATCGTCAGACAGGGCAAGTTACAGGGTGGCATCTTTCTCCTTCTTTTTACCACCTCTACAGATCTCAGCAAGACTACAAAAATAAGATCCATGTTGTCCTTTAAATCTTTAGCAATTACAAATGAGGAAAAAATGGTTTGAAAAGATCTTTTATTCCTTGAGACGAATGGATTTTAGTAAATGGGTTGCAAGTCTGTATCGGGAGGATGCCCCTGATATTTTGTACATTCAGTGTGTGTATATGATGGAAAAAAATAGATGTGACATTTTGTGAAATAGGACAGCTACAGTTACAGTTAATGATTTGTTACTATTATCAATTTATCCTTTGGTTTCCTGGTGGGTCACAGTCCAAAAGTGGGTCGAGGGTCCACTCTGAATGGACCGCAAGTTACTCTGGACTGTGTCAATTTTGTTAAAA